GTCAGCACCACAAAAAAAGCACTACAAAATGATTGCAATAAACTCACACCTGTCAACAACTACACTGAATGTAAATGGCCTAAATGCACCCATAAAGAGACAGAGAGTGACAGAATGGATAAAAAACAGGATTCATCAATATGCTGTCTACAAGAGATACACCTTAGAAAAAAAGACATAAATTTATTAAAAATCAAATGATGGCAAAAATATATCAAGCAAACAGCCACAAAAAAGAGCAGGAGTGGCAATACTAATCTCAGATAAAATAGACTTTAAAACAAAATCCACCATAAAAGACAAAGAAGAGCACTATATAATGATTAAAGGGATGATCCATCATGAAGATATAACCATAATAAACATCTATGCACCCAATGACAGGGCTCGAAAATACATAAAACAAACTCTAGCAACACTGAAAAGAGAAATTGACAGTTCCACAATAATAGTAGGAGACTTCAACACACCACTCTCAGTAAAGGACAGAACATCTAGACAGAGACTCAGCAAAGATACAGAAGAGATAAAGGGCATAATCACCCAACTTGACCTCACAGACCTATATAGAACACTCCACCCAACAGCTGCAAAGTACACATTCTTCTCCAACACACATGGAACATTGTCCAGAATAGACCAGATGTTAGGACACAGAGCAACCCTCAAAAATATCCAAAAAACTGAGATAATACAAAGTATCTCCTATGACCACAATGCCATCAAGGTAGAAATTAACAACAGAAAGAGGAAGGAAAAAAATTGATTACATGGAAACTGAATAACACCCTGCTTACATACCACTAGATAGAAGAAATCAGAGATGGAATCAAAAAATTCCTAGAATCAAACGAGAATGAAAACACATCATACCAAAACCTTTGGAGACAGCAAAGGCAGTCCTCAGAGGACAATTTATAGCAATAGATGCACACATCAAAAAAGAAGAAAGGGACAAAATCTAAAAATTAATTACACAACTCAAACAAACAGTGAACAGAAAAACAAGCCTACAGCCACGAGAAGAAAGGAAATAATAAGGATCAGACCAGAAATAAATGAAACAGAGAATAGAGTCAACAAAACCAAAAGTCAGTTCTTTGAAAGGATCAACAAAATTAACAAGCCACTGGCCAAACGAACAGAAGAAAAACAGGAGATGATGAAAATACCCCAAATAAGAAATGAAATGGGGGACATTACAACAGACCCAACTGAAATAAAAAGGATCATAACAGAGTATTAGAAAAAACTATACTCCAACAAATTTGAAAACCTGGAGGAAATGTACACATTTCTAGAAACATACTACCTACCCAAACTAACACAAACCGATGTTGAAAATCTGAACAGATCCATAACAAGAGAGGAGATTGAAAAGGTGATTAAAAAAAAAACTTCCAAAACAAAAAAAGCACTGGCCCAGATGGCCTCACTGGAGAATTCTACCAAATATTCAGAGAAGAGCTTACAGCAGTACTACTCAAACTATTTCAGAACATAGAAAAGGAAACAACACTTCCAAATTTATTCTATGAAGCCAGCATAACCCTGATACCAAAACCAGGCAAAGACACCACAAAAAAAGAAAATTACAGACCAATATCTCTTATGAATATAGAAGCAAAAATCCTTAACAAAATTCTACTCAATAAAACCCAGCATCATATCAAAAAAAAATCATACACCATGACCAACTGGGATTCATAGCAGGTATGCAAGGATGGTTCAACATTAGAAAATCAATGTAACGCATCACATAAATAAAAGGAAAGAAAAGAATCACATGACCATCTCAATCAACGAAGAAAAGGCATTTGACAAAGTCCAACACCCATTACTGATAAAAACTCTCAATAAAATAGGTATACAAGGGAAATTTCTCAACATAATAAAGGGCATCTAGGCAAAACCAATGGCCAACATCACTCTTAATGGAGGGAGGCTGAAAACATTCCCCTCAAGAACAGGAGCAAGACTAGGATGCCCTTTATCACCACTCTTATTTAAAATTGTACTGGAAGTCCTAGCTAGAGCAATAAGGCAAGAAAAAGAAATAAAGGGCATTCAAATGGGTAATGAAGAATTTAAACTGTCCCTATTTGTGGATGATATGATACTATACATAGAAAACCCAAAAGACGCCACAAGAAAACTACTGGAATTAATAGATTCAGCAGAGTAGCAGGATACAAGATAAACAAACAAAAATCAGTTGGATTCATATACAACACTAAAGAGAAGGATGAAAAGGAAATCAGGAAAACAATACCATTTATAATAGCCCCTAAAAAAAAAAAAGTCCTTAGGAATAAATCTGACCAGGGATGTAAAAGACCTATACAAAGAAAACTAC